AATCACAGCGGACCAATGGCCCCCGCTTTCTTGAGAAAAGCTACAGGTCCCCCGTTAGCACAGACAGCTGAGGTAAACAAGCAGCGGAGGCTAACCTGAAACTTCCCGTGTTACCAGTTACTGCTTACACAGCGAAACAGCGCTTCCCGGTTCTATCATTCTATGGTCACACCATCCACGTTCAAATATGCTATCCATATTGTGAGACTCTAGCTCCGTAAACACAGGCAGAGTGGGAGGGGGGTAGTGGGGGGTGATAGCTTCGTGAGTGCAGAAGAGCGAGGCCAGCGCTCACATTCGACCTAAGCTACAGAACAAGGACCAAGGCCACGCAGCGGCCTCAGAACATGGACAGGTCCGGTGCAAGACTGAAACAGCTCCCAGGCGGGTCGGGCAGGGCAGTCTGCAGGTGTGGATGGAGGAGGCCAGGTTCAGAGGTCCCGTTGTCGCACCATGAAACAGAAAATGGGACAACACGTGAATAGCAATGTACAAACTACAGTCAAAATCCTAATAATGCAGACGGATAAAGCAGGAAGGAGGAGAGGATAGTGCTCAAGTCACCATACTTCTTCCAGCAAACTGACTCCCTATGCATCTTGACTAACAGTCTAGCCTAAAATGTAGGGTTGAAGATGCAGCAGACCGGGTCCCATACAAGCAGACTCCAAGACCAGACAAACGACCTGACCGGACAAACCTAACCATATGCTAAATTGAAGACGAGTGTTTTCAGCCTGGCCTTGAATGTAGAGACCGTGTCTGCTTCCTTAACATGGATGGGAAGCTGATTCCCACAGTAAAGGAGCTTGGTAGCTAAATGCTCTGCCACCGACTGCTTTTTGAGACCTTAGGAACTCGCAAGGACCTTGCGAGTGCAGTGCTCGGTTTGGTTGATATGACACTAACATGTCTTGAAGATAAGAAGGAGCCAAGCCATTTACAGTAGGTCCCATTTCGTTTTGTCGTCTTCACTCACGCTTTTCATGAATCACGCAGCTGCGTGAAACATATTACATCTTATCGCCACAAGGTGGCAGGTTAAGTCCGCTTTAGCTCTGCCAGCGACTTAAACGCTCAGGTATAAGTCTGTGTGCAAACGTTATCTGCCTAGTGATACTATGTTGGCCGAATGGTTTGAGTTGCAGGTTAGGATCCGGGGGATCTGGGTTTGAATCTTGTCTGAGGCAATTTTGGTTGCACACCTTTTGGTTGCTTGTGTGCAATTACGTAACGTTATCAGCTTGTTATCTTCTTTCCTTATCAAAAGGATTTTTTGCTCACTTCGGGCCTATCAAAACGCGGTTTAAAGTCAAAGGATTGACTCTGTAAAACACTGTACTAACTTACTGCACTGTATTGTAAGTACTGTAACAATACAATTGTATTTTACTTTACTACTTATTTTTACTTCTTATTTTTTAATAAAAACACTTCTTCTCAAAAGTTCCTTTCTGACTTCTTCTACAGTATGGGATAGCCAGCAGCAAGTGCGTTATTGAACGTGAAACATTGGAACAAAACAAACACGAGTGTACACTTAATTCTGAATACTTTTACTTTGATTAGCAATATATAGGCTGTGTATAATTACAAAAATTTAAACTACACATGTTACATATAGCTACCATTAATTAGGAATTCTAAAATGCACAGGAGTAGCAGATCATATGGCAAACATTTGCATTAACTTGCATATAAGGCATTTTAAGCGTCCCGCACATACGCACGGCTCATTCACTCAGCGGTCTGTCCTATTAGATCCAGGGTTTTCTCCAGCGCCTGTGTGGCGTAGTGGGATTGTCCAAGACTTTCGCTTGGACGATGGGGGTTCGAGCCCCAGCCAATCCTCAATTTTTATTAGCGGGGGGAGTATATGAATCAGATTACTCCGTTACTGAATAAAGTTGCATTTTTTTCCTGCAGTTTGGTTGGTGCAGATTGTGAAGTTTACAACAGTTTACTACAGTCTAGCAACTATTTTAAATGTGTTGGCCTAATTACTAAGTTTTTTTTTTTTTTTAACACTGGAGAAAACGTGCTCGGTTTCAGGTGGGAGTTAAGAGGTTAAAAGCAGAAGATTTTCCGACAATGTTCCTAACCCTGCAAAGATAAAAAGCCAGTACAAAAGTGGAATAATTTTATCTTCATAACTTGGTGCTGATTGTGGAGTTGTATCAAAAGTCTTTAACTTGTACTCGAACCCAGGTCCTCCTGCGCCAAAGACTTGAGCTTTATGACTGGGTGTCATAAAGCTCAAGGTGGCACTGCTCACAAGTGCCACTTGGTGGTTTTTTGGGTCATTGCAGCATCACTGGGGGAAAAAAAATAAAAGACGCGTGTTTCACACGTGAGTCTCGTGCTATTCACGCGTGAAAGGCGACAAAACGAAATGGGACCTACTGTATGGCATAGCAGTGGAAGTTAATTCCATGCTTTATAGAGTGTGAAAAGAATCGGTCCGAGTACGGATCCCTGAGGCACCCCGAATTCCACTTTAGAATAGGGCAACGAGTTTTATTCCCATTGACAAAGTGATACCGATCCGATAGATAGGATTTAAACCAGCCAAGGGCTGTTTATCTGAGACCCATGTCACATTCCAGCCTCCGCAGTAGAATGCTGTGGTCTATTGTATCAAATGCAGCGCTGACACTTGTCTACTATCAGCAGCGAGAAGTTAGTCATTTGTGACTTTGACTAGTGCCGTTTCAGTGCTATGATGAGCTCTGAATCCTGATTGAAAGACTTGAAACATATTATTATCCTGCAGGTGGCAGCAAAGCTGTTCAGCTATAAGCTTTTCCAGGATTTTAGATATGAAAGTGAGGTTCGAGATCGGTCTGTAGCTTGTAAGGATCCAGGTTTGTATTGTTCAGAAGGGGTTTGATTAAAGCAGTTTTAAAAGCTTGTGGGACATAGCCACATTGTATAGATGTGTTTATTATATTTAACCCTTTAGGCGCCAGAGTTTTTTCAAGAAAATATACAATTTTGATTTCAAGATTTCAAAAGGCTATAACTTTAAAATGGTTTGAGATAAAGGCATAATGTAAATTAGAAATATCTTCAGTTTGAACCAAACTTTGGGATGGAAGTTGATTCGTCATCTAATTTGCACATTGTGACGTCATCAAGGTGGTGGCCATTTTGGAAAATGTTAATTATTGTATAAAGATTTCAAAAAGCTGTAGCTTTGGAGTTATTTGAGATCAGGGAATACTATAAACAGTCAATGTGAAATATCTTTAGTATGAAATGAATTTGGGATAGAAAAAAATTCCCTGATCCAGATTATAGATAATGTTTTAGCACTGGTTCGCGGCCATATGGAATTGTATTATTGTCAGATCGTCTCAACAATAAACAACAGGCTCTTCATCACTTCTGATCCACTTTTGTGGATTATTTTCTCTCAAGAACTGCCTTCATCCTCATCATCGCTGTTGGTAAAGGCAGTGAACGCGATTAGCGATGTGTTTTCTTCCCGCGGCTCCCCCGCGACTTCTCCCGCGTCTCCCGTGTTCCCCGTGGATGTCTACCCCCGCTACATTCTCCCACATGCCCGGTGTTATGATGCCCCTGTCCCCTCGACCACGGCCCCTGCTTGGCGTTCACAGAATGCTTCTATCGCGGCCACACGGGGACTACGGATGAAAAATAGCCGTTTGGCTAATTCTGGGATATTTACAGAAATGTTCATTAATATGCACTGTCCCAGTAATAAATAAATAAATAGATAAACACGGAGGACAAGCAGCTGGTGTACAGGGGCTGATTGTGGACTATATGGCGCGGTCTCCCCGTCACCAATAATGTCCGTGTCTGCTCCACTGGACACCTGCGTGTCTTCCTCCTCTGAATCTGAGTGAGCCAGTACCAGACCAAGTACTTCTCTGGTACTGAAGACCTCGTGCGTAAAAGAAAAAACACTATCTCCCTCTGCTCTGCTCTTGCTCCTCTCAGCTCAGAAAAGTATTAACAAGATTCTGCACCACATTTTTACACACAGCCTGTTTAAGTAAGCAATGTTGCTTGTCGCAATATTGCGACTTTGGCGCTTAAAGGGTTAAGAAGGCTCTTTTATCAAGATAAACATGTCTTTAAAGAGCCAAGCTGGGATTGCATCTAAAATGCAAGTTGATGCTTTAGAAGATGCGACCACAGAGATCACTTCCTCTTGGCTCACAGCCGTCAACTTGTCGAGGCACACTGAAGAGTCCAGGTGGGAAATCAAGTGCAAGTGTGTGGGGAGGCGGGACTACTGGCGTAAATTATTTCTAAACGGATTTTTCCATATGGCCATATGGAAAAATCGTATATATTGAGGCATCTGTTTCATAACTTTTTTTACAAAGGTCCTGGCAGTTTTATTCCAGTTAATTTTTTGTTAACAGAGACTGACAGACTAGTTAATTTATTGTTTTTGGTAGTTTGTTCATTTATTGTGTTCTAGTATTAATATCGTTTAAGCCAGCCATTCCCAACGTCAGTAACAACGCGGCCCCCTAAATAATCTGACGGGTCTGCAATCTGACAATGTTAAAAATAGGCTCTTCTCGTTATTTTTTGGGGGGGCAATAGCTTCTGCTACAAACATGTAAATGACGCACCCCATTTTGTAAAACAAAAATGATTACAATTTCAAGTCAAATAATGAACAGATAAAAAAGGCCAGCAAAAATGCAAATTAATCAAGGAAAAATATTCGTTCAATACAATTGCTCAGCTCACCTGATGAGAGGGATGGTGTTGCATAGCGGCTGCTTAAGCCCCAATATTGGGTTGAATGGTGTTTAAGATCAAAGGTGACATCCAGTCTGTTCCTGTACTTGGTTTTTAACGCGACTAAGGCTGAAAATCCAGTCTCACAGAGATACGTGGTGGAAAATGGCATGAGGAAACGAATGGCTTCGTCAGCCAAATGTGAATATTCTTTGTAAACGCGTATCCAGTAGCGCACCAAGTGCGCCTGCGTAAAGCCCAGTTTCAATGAGCTATCACAAGATAGTTCCACGAGACTGGATAACAAATGGGTTTTCTATCCAGTTGTTCATGTTGTCCTGTGCAGGGAAATCCTTGCGAAGCTGGGTTCCGAGGGCCTGCAGGTGCGCGCTGACTGCGCTTGCCACCGACCTGGACATCTCACTCTCTTCGGTACGCAACAAGTCCGAAAAGCTGTCCAGGGACTCAAAATTATTTTGTCCAACTCTACGATCCCACATCTCAAACTGTTTAATTGTGCCTTCATCGATGTGAGCCATAAAAAAATATTTTGAATTTATCAGAATAGTTGATCTTATAGTTTTATACCTACAGACAGCTTGTGTAGTATTAGTAGAAGACTAGTGTCAGTAATAACACTAATAAATACCAACACTAATATAAACAAAACGGTAACAGTGGTAATTATGCTGTATTTTCTATGGGAAAAATAATGCTGCTAATCTTAGCATTGAAGCGAAAAATGAAATATCAAGGCAATTTTTTGTTTTTCCTTTTCCTCATCAAAATGAAAAATGAAATATCAAGCCATTTTTTTATATTTCATTTTCAATTTTAATTTGAAGAAACGATTGAACGAAAAATACACGGACCATAATGTTATAAAACAGCAGATAATTATATGAAAGTAACTGATGCCATGTCGGTCCGTGTACTTTTGCGTTCAATACATTTTCTATTATTGAAAGGAAATGGAAAATCGAAAAAAGGCTATTTTGCATTTTCAGGCACACAGCAATATACAAAAATTACCATTTTGGTGTTTTCATTGCTTATAATTCATATAGATATTATTATAACCGGATCTGGGAACTAGAAAATGCAATAATTAACCTTTTTCAGTATGTATGTCATACATTTCGGCGTCAATCGATTACCCGGAAGTGAAACAAGTTTGTTTACTTCAGATTCAGATTCAGTTTATTTGCCATTTGCAGTAAAAAAACCACATTGGAATACATTAGCAAAAAGTCTCCAGTGTGCACAGACAAATACATCAGCCCTATTCGCTCTAATTTAGTATAATTTAATACGCAAATGACCTCCTGTATTTGTCCAAACACAGACGTCCTGTGATAATACTTATCCCGTGAGAATCTGCATGTCAGTGATTGTGATCGCTTTTGCCACTTCCGCTTTACTTTCTGCGTTGTTTTTTGTCAATAAGCAGAGGAGTTGCGTGTCGAGTCGCGGCTGCTGCTGTCTCTGTGAGGTCTATGGAGAATAGGGGTGGGAACCTAAGGGTACCTCACGATACGATACGATACACGATACAAAGCTCACGATAACGATAATATCACAATAACGATATCACGATAACGATTTTATCACGATATGACAATTATTGATATATTGGTCAGAAATATACAATATGCCAATTCATGGCAAAAATACAAGAAAAAATACTCTTTATTTCATGATAAATAGAATGGAGATGCGTAATGTAGCCATATATTAAGTGTTGATACCAATAAATAAAAAAATATTGTAAAAATAAAAAAGTTTTTTTTTTTTTTTTCAAAATCGATATCGATACTTGGCAAATGCATATCGATAATCGAATCGCGGGAGAAAGTGTCGCAATATATCGAAAAATTGATATATCGTCACACCCCTAATGGAGAATGTGTTCACTGACACTAAATGATCAGACTGATGGGTTGTGTTTGTACGTTTACTTTGCACTCTGTGGTAATACTGTACAGACGGGTTGAATGTATACAGTCTATGGTTGATTCAGCCGTTACTATTTTTTTTGTTTTTTGTTTTTATTTTTTATTTTTTATTGAATCACCCAGTGATAGGGGAGTACATATACAGTAGTTACATCCAAGGAAAACATACAGTAGTTATATATAAAGAAAACATATACAGTAATTACATACAAAGAAAATAGATTATACAAACTCCTGTATGGTAGCATTGTGGGGAGGAGGGGTTCAGAGTTGCACAAGAGTGGTGTGTGTGTGCGTGTGCGTGTTTGAGTGTGTGAGATATGGTAAAAAAAATAAAAAATAATAATAATAATAAAAATATAAAATAACAATTTAACAAAAATTAAAAAAGTATATGCACTGTAAATCTATAGACTGGTCCTGCCGATACCATCACCAAAAAGGTTCTAAACAATCCTGGGAGGGATCTGATATACATATTATGACGGGTGTGGTGTAGAGGTGCTAGGATGTGTAGTGTCATGACTGATGCATTAAAAATCAAGCAGGGGTGGCACCAAAGATGTTTGAGACGGAGGTTGAAATGGTCAGGGTAATAGGCCAGATCGGAAAAAGCAATGTCTAGGGCCGCATTGAACGTAGAGTGAGCAGTGGTGAACTCGCTTATGCGGAGAAAGCCATAAAAGGCGAGCAGGAAAGCGCAGCGAAGGAGAGCAGACGTGTACTTGGAAAAAGAGCCGGAGTTCAGTGTGGTGCAGAGCTGTTCAAGGATGGGCAGCGTGATGGGGAGCCGGTGGTCAGAAGAGTGGGGAGCACATTTGTTGATGCCTTTGAAGAGGAGTTTAATTGAGGGTTCAGAGAAAAGAGAGGAGAAGGCGGGGTTGTGACAGCGGGCCTGAAACTGAATGCCAGAGAGCAGCGTACGAATGTAAGTTGTTTTATGATGGAGATTGTCTGAGCAGTGAACTATGAAAGCTATGACAGTAGATACGGATGGAGGTAACGAAGGGATGTTGTGAGCGTGGCAGAAGAGGGAATAGGTTCTCCATGCGGAGCTGTATGTAGATAGAGTAGAGGGGGAAAGGCCCTTTTTCATATAGGATGAAGCAGAGGAGAGGAGGTGTGAGAGGGAAGGTGAGACTAGTCCAGGGTTAGTTGGTCCATGGTGGGAACTGCGCGTGGCTCCGTGCAGGCTGAGGGGCAGAGGCGCCGGAACTCCTGAAATTTAAAGCGAGAAAGACAGTCAGCGATTTGATTAAGGTGACCGGGGACGTGGCGTGCAGTGATGATAAAATTATTTAAAACAGAGAGCCAAGTGATGCGTCTGAGAAAAGACATTATGTTAGGCGAAGAAGAGCGGCCTTTGTTTAGTGCTTCCACTACGTCGAGATTGTCACACATTACAGAGATCCTTTTTCTCCGCCACGTGTGACTCCAGAGCGCGCAGGCCACGACCACGTGTAAGGCCGAGGAGATGCTCCGGGGAAAAGTAGCGGGCCACGGCCCGGCGAACCACTGGTCCTGATAGAATCCCCCAAAACCCACGGAAGGGGCAGCGTCCGTGTAGAAGCGGAGATCGTCGGAGGACCGGACGATATCGTCGTAAAAGAACGAAACGCCGTTCCAGCGGTCCAGCAAGCGCGACCAGAAGTCCAGGTCGGAGCGGCACCCGTCGTCCAGGGTGACCGTGTCGTGCAGGGAGGGAACCGAACCCGCGAGGGTGAGAAGACGCGAAATAAAAGAGCGGCCCTGGGGAATGATGCGGATGGCATAATTGAGGTGCCCGAGCAGGGAGAGCAGCTCACGTTTTGTGATGGAGGGAGAGGATAGGGCAGATTGTGACACGGTGCGCACGCGCAGGAGCTTCTCCAGCGGGAGGGAGGCCTCCATGGCGCGTGTGTCGAGGCGGATGCCGAGAAACTCCAGGGCGGTGGCAGGGCCCACGGTTTTCTCCTCGGACAGGGGGACCCCGAAGGCCGAGAAGGCCGACTTCAGCCTACGGAGCGAGTCCCCGGAGCCGTCCGCGGGGGGGTCGACGAGGAGAAAGTCATCTAGGAGATGAAGGACAGAGGGGAGACGGAGGTTGTTCAACAAAATCCAGCACAAGGCCTCAGAAAGGTTATTAAATAAAGAAGGACTGCTCCTGCAGCCAAACGTGAGGCGCGCAGCAAAATAAAAGCCGGAACGCCACTTTACTCCAAACAGGTGCCAGTGATCGGGGTGAATGGGCAGCAGCTTGAAAGCGTCCGTGATGTCCGCTTTAGACAGCCAGGCCCCAGGGCCGAAGGCCTTCACCAGCCGGATTGCGTGATCCACGGTGGCGTACTGCAGGGAGAAGGGCTCAAGAGGGATGAGACTGTTAATGCTCGGAACGGGCCCGGAGCGGGGGTGGGATAAATCAAATATAAGGCGCTTCTTCCCGGAATACTTGCGTGTGGCAACTCCCAGCGGGCTGGAGCGAAACGGGGAAAAGGGGGGCCTGGAAAAGGGGCCGATGATGTAGCCCTTGTGCACCTCCCGCGCGAGGAGCTGCGTGACCAGAGAGGCTCGCGGAGAGCAGATTGCGGGACACGTAGGACGCCGAGGGGAGAGCCGCCACTCCAACATGGAAGCCCCGGGCCAGGCCTGTCAGGAGAAAGTCAACAAAGGTCAGGTCAGGATGGGGCGCGAGCGCGCGGGCCAGCGCGGGCACGGAGACTGGGGTTGAGAGGTGGGTGGTGATCAGGGCCTGTACGAAGGCTCACCGGAACGGCGGCCCGGGCGGGGGCGATGGGGGCACACGGAACGTGGATGGGCTTCCCTGCACACACTACAAACGTGGAGATAATTGCACGATGGAAAAGTACACACGCCAGCGTTGAACAAACGGCACACACTGCTCTGATCATATACCTCCGCTTTGGGAAATGAAGGCGCGCGGGGCCTAGGGGACTGACCAGCGGCGGCGTCGAACGGAACGGAGGGGCAGAGGGGAGAGCTGTGGCCGGCCGCGCCGCACCGGGAGCAGGAGACCGCGGGGGCACTTCCAACGGACAGCAGCAAGACCTCCGTATCCAGGACCGCCCAGTCCACTCTGACATTAGCCTGGGAGACGAGGGCCGCGGCCTTGGCGGCGAAGGCCCGATGGTAGCGGTAGAAATGTGAACCGCCGTAGCGGAGGGCCAGGTCCCCCATTAGGCCCAGATAAGCGTCCAGCTCGGGCCTGCGCTCGGGGTACACGGTGCACAGGACGTCCCGGTACACGCCGAAGGCCACGAGAAACTCCCCGATGGATAGCTCCCGCGAGAGGCGGGGATCAGCAGTCTTTACGACCGCAGTGACCAGGGAGGAGGCCGCCACCTGCCTGTCACACTCGGGGGAGGGGAGGATGAGGGAAACTAAATTGATGTAGCGTCCCAGCAATATTTTAGACCGCAGCCGCGGGGAAACGTTTGAGTAGGCATTGATAAAGGGCCTACCGGACGCCGTAGCAGCCACAGCCGTGGAGAGGGAGAAACCGACGTGCAGGGAGCCGCCGGGAGGCGCAGCGGCAGGAACGGCCACCGGAGCCACGGCGGGGGTGGGAGGTTGGGATTCCACGACGCGGAGCCGGCCGGACACTGCGGCCACCGAGCTCTGGAGAGACGACACCGCCGACAGGATGGCGTCCGTGCGCGCGCAGAGGAATTCACGGTCCTGAGCCGCAGCTGCCACATGGGCCGCGAAGGCTGCCGCGAAAGGATCCGGCTGGGGAGGGGGCACGCCGGGAGCCGCGGGGGCGGCCCGGGAGACGTCGATGGGGCAAGGCGCTGGGGCGGGCACGGGGCAGGCCGACGAAGCCGGGGGAAGCAGGGGCCCGTCGAGCGCAGAGGAAGGGGGGCAGGCACGCGTTGGCGGCAGGTGATTGGCCTTGCGACGGCGCTTGCGAGGAGGGGAGTCCGGAGCTGGGGGGGGGAGGCGGAATCCGCTGACAGCTGCTCCACGAGGCGCTGGAGCTGCAGCGGGGTTGCATCCGGACCTGGCACGACGCCACGGGCCGTGAGGAAGGTGCGGACGGACCCAGCATCCTGGGACGCCAGGCGCGCGCTCTTCCGGGACCGGTCGGGCACAGGCGAGGGGGGAACGAACAAATCGTTCAGAGAGCTAGGCAAAGAGCCCGAAGCAGACGGGGACGCACGAGCACGGGGCGACGAACGCATGGTGGACAGTTGCATTACGCTGACAACACTTTGCAGACTTCAGAAGGCCGGGAAGTGGGCGTCTCCGGCTTTTAACTTGCTGTCCTGGTGGTTATTGGTGGATTAGATGTGGGCGTTTTGCTGGTGTAATGAGTAGATGATGAGCAGGCTTGTAGATCTGGCAGCAGCGGCCGGGTCTACCACAGTGAATTTTCGCGAAGAGCTCCATAACTGTTGATTCTCTGATCTGTGTTGGTGATTTCAATGGTTTTGTTAAGTCCTCTGAGATGACTTCTGTTGTGACTTAGGGCTATACAAGAATAAATTGTATTGTATTGGTTTGTATACTGTAAAAGTTTGATTGTCTGTTGTTGACCAATCAGAGCAGTTCATCAGAGCGTGAGTTAGATCGAGAGCCAGACGAGCAGAGTTTGTGGCACTAAAGTGTGGATTTAAACAATACCGAAGGATTTAAGAAGAAAAAAGTTCAGGATGACAAGGGACACTAAAATCCCCACAAAATCCGACCTTTATGAAAGCTGTAGGTTCTCTGTCAGCTGAGGTTGAGCTGTTTTAATATGCATTGAGTCCTATGGGGAAAATTTCTGGGTAGCCCACGTTATTCAGCTACAAGCTAGTAATACCCTATCCAGTTATTTTAATAGAATCATGGTTGTACACTGTGAGCTAGCTACATTTAGCTATCGATAGCAAGCTAAGCTAAAACATCCTTCTTGTGCTAGTGTGCTGTCTTGCTCTTTAACCTGTTGCCATTCTGTTTTGTGCTTGTGCTTAGGTTGTTGTTTATATATTTATTTGTTTGAGAATCCCTTCCCACAAGTGAGGAGATTTCCAACGAGCAATGAATGACATATTTACTTTGGACTTTGTAAATTGTTGGTTTTGCACTTTACTTTTGTTTTTAATAAATCTGTGATCGTATCAAGACTTTGTTTCATTCCTTTGTCTGTACACATGCCTAAAAGGGGTTCAAAAGATACGATTTCCTACCAGATATACTTTTTATTTCTATTTACATTGCATACATTATATTTTTCAGTAAATCCACATACCCATGATAAATTTATGAACAAGGATGGAGACATATTTGCTAAATACAAAAAGGTTTTGTTTTTGGTCAAAACACAAGGGCAAAATAAATGTTTAGGCATATGATTTTTATCATAGATTACATTTTTACTTCTTCTCACTCATTTTGCGAGTTGATACGTAGTTATTTAAAATAAATGTGTATTGTAAATCTAAATTATGTATTGAACTCGAAAGAAAAAACATTTAATATCAATTCAAATTAAATGTTCTTCATTGAAATGGATGTGACTAGTTACGCGTCACGCGTAAATTACGTGGTCTGACAACCCTTCCATGCTGAGGAGATACTTGTAGGTATCATTTATAATGGTGCCTCTGAAGCTTCTTTTCTGCACTACATCAGCTGTTTGTACAGCATAGGCCCACAGCACCTTTGGTAGTCCACTCTGGAGGAGCATGCATCTTGCCATAACAGGGTTTTCCAGTTGCGTTCAGCATTATCAGATCTAATGCATTTCTCATGCCCATAAGGAGCTATGTCTACTAGAAACCTCTCTGTATGCACAATTATTAGAGGTTCTTTAGGTCTGGCATCTGGCCTCCTGGTTTGTATGAATTTCTCTTGAAAACCAAATAAATGATCTTTGAGTCAAAGACCAAGGTGCACGACTCTCTATTTATAGATGGGGTGCAAATTGAGCAAGTGGACTTGATTAAGTATCTTGGCCTACACATTGACAACATTTTTAAATGGACTGATGAGGCTGATTCCATGTGCGCAAAAATGGCCCAGAGATTACACTTTCTGAGATGTTTACTGCTGTTCGGATTGTGCACAAAAATAATGACTATTTACTTCAACTCTGCATTTGAAAGCTTTCTCAGATACTGCTGAAGTTACCTCCCTCCACCTGATCTATGAGCAGACCACACTCTCACTGGCTCAAAAAATTGTCAGTGACCCCGTACACGTCCTGCACGGGGAATACGAGACCCTGCCCTCAGGACGTCACTTTAGGGCTGTAAGACGCAGCACAAACTGATTCAAGCTCTCCTTTGTCCCAACTTCAGTGGCACTCTTAAACAAAAATGCTAATAATGAATGCATTTTCATTTTTTATTTTATTATTTCTTTTCCAGGACCTATTATTTATTTCGATGCTGAATTGTCCAAACAGAGGCTTCAAAAAACTACTGCACTTTCCTGTAATGTTCCTTTTTTTTATTCATTCATGGAGATCTGTGTAGCACTGTATCCTAATGCAAATTTCCCTTGGGATAAGAAAGTTTCTCTTATCTCTTGGCTATGGCCTGCAGGCTTAGCTGCATGGTTGGTACTAGATCATTTACGGAATCGGGACGGAAGCGGAAGTAAACATAACCACCTACCTAAACTAATAGATCCATGCCTAAACTTGACCAGCTAGGTGCTCAGACACCTATAACCTAACCACTTAAGTTACTTCCACTTCCGTCCCGATTCCGTATATGATCTAGTGCCGACCATAGCATGTTATTGAATAAAGTGGCAAATTATTTTCTGGCATTGGAATTTTGAGTTTTTTAGAAGATGAGTAACTAAAACACTCCCAACTCTATGATGTAACATGGCCTATTTAAAAATATGCGTTTTGTTTAAATTCAGCCACTTGGACCATCTATGCACAGAAAATCCAGGCATTAGGTGTATCTATGGAGACAAGTGAGAGACCATTGGCCAAGTTACAGACTACAGCTGTGGCGTGGCAAGTCTCGTCACATGAAAATTGTATATTCGTCATATCTATCACATTGAGCAACAAAACTGTATAATTGGATTAATGTATAAAGGATTAATGTTCAGTTCATGTTCTTTTTGAAGTAACAAAGACCAGTTTGATTAAGCCAATGAAGGAAAAAAGTCAGGCAAAAAGAAATGAATACATCAATTACAGCTGGGGCAGCTAACTTTTGTGAGAATATATATATATGTTTTAATATTTGCCCTATTTGAACTTTGAGCTCAGATTTGATTGGCTGAGTGAGGGTGATCCTCTCTGTTTCACTTTTTCCTGTCTGAATCTAAAGATTAGACAGAGGCCAAAAATACTTTTGAAAACTAGTGATACCTAACCAGGAGTTTGACAATATATCAATATGGCAATGTATTGCAATACTTTCTCATATTATAGTATTGATACTTAATATACAGCTAAATTACACAGCTCCATTCTTCATGTCTTTGTGAGTAATTACTAGAAAATCCGCTAGGGGCATGTGCTGCAAAAGTGGCGTTCACAGGAAGACGGAAGAAAGCTGGATAAGGGTTTTTCCATTTGTAAGAACTACTTGATAAAGGGTTAGTATATTAGAACACCACGAACATGCACAGCCACTTGGTAGGCCATCACCCAGAGATTGTCAGCTCAAATGAACTGAACTTATGTTTTAAACTTGTGTTTTCACATGAGGAAGGCGTTTGATCAGTGATTTTCTCTCACAGTAGGGAGCTAGTTGTATTCCCCCTGCATCTCTCAAAGTAAATCTTTTCACTGATTACAGGAATGGAAACCGGAGGGCCCTTTGCTGTGTGCTGCAGGTCTGCTTCAGCGCAGTCTGTTTTAATGCAATTCATGTGACAGAAGGTCACTGGGTCTGCTGCAAATGAATGTGAAAAGGCTCATTCACCGCATTATAATGCACTCAAATTGTATAGCAACAGGAAAACAGTGTCGGATTAAAACAATGCATACACAACCGAGCATGAGTTAAAGTCCCCATAATCAGTATTTCCCATTAAGGGGGTCCTCAAAATCTGATTACCATATCCCTACATAGTCACAAAACACCGTTTTCGTTTTGGTCCGAGTTCAGCTTGTCAAAGCACATTTGATTTGGTCTTAAAGCTGCATTACCTCACTTTATTTTTTTATTCATTACGGAAATTCAATCCATATCCATGCAATGCATTGGGATATACGTCCTTTTGAAGAATAAGTAGCGCAGATTTGTGCTGGCGTGTCATTTTATTTTAGATCGAGTTTTTGTGCAACAAGGAAGAGATTTTGTTTTGGGACCAGATTGTGACCAATCACAGCGGACCACTACCCCCCACTTTCTTGAGAAAAGCTACAGGTCTCTTGTTAGCACAGACAGCTGAGGTAAACAAGCAGCGGAGGCTAACCGCAGAGAGTGCGAACCTAGTGCTCACATTCAAAAATTTCACAAAGTGAGTTAGTGCAGCTTTAAAACCCCACAAGCTTGGGTTCGAGCCCAGCACAAGACCTTGCCCACCAACTCCCACTGATGTCTGCTGTCGTTGTGTCCTTGGGCAAGACACTTAACCCCACTTTGCCTGAAGCCCCCGCTGAAAGATCAAGGCACTACTGTCATGAACAGATCAGCTATCCTCCAGTGGACTCACCACCTGCAGGAGTATCAATGAGGGACTGGTGCTCTGGGTGCAGCTCTGACTGCCAACCCCCTCTACCCAGAAATTGATTAAGGGAAAGAAGATGGATGGATGGATGGATATTAATATACAGGTGCAAGCAATAAAAGACTTTACACTTAAAAGATATAAAGCATAATATGGGCACAAAACATTCTCATTGCATTTCTTACCTTTGGACTTGTGCTGTGTCTATAATATTGAAGTTATCCATGCTATGGCTCAGTTGGTAGAGCATTGGCTTTGAGCCAGAAGGTTGTGGGTTCAAGCCCACCGACTTCACTGATGTCTGCTCTCGATGTGTCCTTGGGCAAGACACAACCCATAAGGAGCATGGAAGTAATGTACACTGCATCAGTTTTAAAATCAAATTTTGTTTTAGTCTTAGTCTTTTGACTAAAAATAATTTTAGTTTTAGTCATTTAGTCATTAGTCATTGATTTAATTTAATCTTACTCAAATTTTTTTCAAAAAAAAATGAAGCAATTTTAGTCTACAAAAACACTAAAAAATACTTTTTTCCTGAACATGTTAAACA